TCGGTTTATTAAAAAAACTGACATCTTTTGACATCTTTCTACATACATTTTCTTGCATTCATTGCCCGTAGATGCGTCAACTACAGAAGCGGAAATGTGTCAATTGACTAGCCTTATCGTTCGTTACTATCGTTTCGCATGTGACATCCACGAATTGTTGAACACGTTAAAAGCAAAGAACACTATCATGTACTGGCTTCTTGTTTTCGTCATCTGTCTCGTTCCGATCATATTGTGCGTGAAAATCAGCAGCTTCTGCGAGTCTTATTTAACAATGATTATCTTGTCTCTCATTCTACAATACAAACTGAATCTCCAATGGACGGCCACCAGCCCTTCAGCAGATGAGAGTGCGGTCACAGATGTAAACACAATCGACGATTTGGGTAACGATGCTGACTTTTTCCACTTTTTTCTCGATATACTTCGGGGTTTTAAGCATATTAGAATCACCAGTGTGATCAGCATATTTGTTTGCCTATATCTAGCATGTTTCAATAAAGGACCCCGCGCGATAAGGTGGGAAATCTACCATCCTCCAGAAGTCTTTTTAAATACATACAGCATGAAAGATCATGTTGTTCTGCATATTTTGGTCTGGTGGATTTGATTTTTATCAATAATAAAAAGTCGATATGACTGATCTGCTTGCGTGTCGGAGGTACATACATATTTAAGGACTGGATCAAACGAACGTTTTCTCTCCATAAATATTTTCGATATATTGCGATTAGATGCGCCTTTCTTCCCTTGACAAAATGCATAAAGGCATTTGATAAATTCCATTTCTCTACTGAGAAATATATAGGGGTGCGAATGTGCTTAAAACGATACTTCTGGAACTAGTTCTTAGTAATCCGGCCGCTTTATCTCTGCAATAAAAAATAACCCATGCGTGAAATTCTCTAAAAAACTGCGCCAACATTTCCTCTACAAAATGCGCTTGTTCAAAAAGTTTTGAAAATTGTCCAAACTTAGAATTCGTTCACATTTATCTGCTAAAACATCCTCTTTTCGGTTTGTTTGAGGCTCGGCTTCGATCATTTGTACCAAAAGCGATGCTTAAAATAAAATTTGACACTACAGCATCCAAAACTGAGTCGAATGATATATGCTTCAACGAAAAATATTTTTCATCAAATACACACCCGGGAGGGACCGAAAAGAGGGTGTTTTAGCAGATAAATGTGAATGAATTCTAAGTTGTACCTCCGACACACAAGCAGATCAGTCATATCGACTTCTTATCATTGATAAAAATCAAATCCACCAGACCAAAATATGCAGAACAACATGATCTCTCATGCTGCATATCCGGTGGTTCAGGTTAATTGGCGGCCTCAGTATTTCGTCAATATTTCCTTTAGTTTTGAATTCTTTACACATGAATCTTTTTTCAAAAAATTCCGCTTTCAATTCTCTACAAGAATGTATAAGGCCGTTTGATTGCAAATTTAAATATGAAAAATTGAGTTAGTAATATTGTGAAGCTCCACTATGTCCAACTTTCTAAACTCTCTAGCGAGCAAAATAGTCTTTTTAGTCTTATTTGTTGGCATTTTGAGGCACTGGAAAAATTAACTAACCATTATTGTAGCGCTTGAAAAGAACTATCTTTTTAGTTGTAATCAAAAAGTTTCTCGCACCGCAATGTACAGCGCAACATAAATTTTTCTTTGTTGAGATCTTGACAAAATCATGTTGTTGAACTACCAGTTGGGGAGCATTCGGAAAAATTTGCATATGTTGATCAAAAACTAATCTTTCGACCTTATTTTAATTATACCTTAAAGAGAAATGAATGGCACATTGCACTTCAAATAAAATGAGCAAAATACGCTAAATTTTGATAATTTCCCCAGTTTTGAGAGATTTGTAATTGTTAAGTCATAAAAACAATCTGAGTCATTTTTTAAATAAAAAGCTTTAGAAAGTTGAACATGTTGGCTTGGCGCTTCACAATATTATTAGTTTAAATTTTCGTCTTTAAATTTGAGATCAAACGTCCTTATATATCCTTATAGAGAATTGAACGAGGAAATTTTTGAAAAAAATTCAAGTGTAAGCAATCAAAACTAAAGGAAATACTGACGAAACACTGAGACCGCCATTTAATATGGACCGCCCGATATATTTAAAAAGATTTCTTGTGGGTGGCAGATTTTCCACCTCATCGTGCGGGGTCCTTTAAACCCTGAGAACAAATTGTTGCAAAATATCGATGATGTCTTGTTTCATCAGGAAGCATACGCATTGTTAGAAAATGGAAATGATTTAGTTTTGAAAAGATGTACTTGTTTCACTACTCTCACAAAGAGTCTGGTAAATCCAGAATCAGCTCATATGTGAAAGAAAACTTTCGAATTTTGTTTTATGGGGTCCTTCTTGTGGCGTAAAAATCAAAGAGGTTTCTGAAAACTACTGACCGATTCCTTTGATTAGATGTATTGTTAATTTCAATTTAGTCATATTGTACCCCAATGCCTTCTCTATGAATCCTAAAATGTTATAAATCGTTTGCAAGGTGCTTTTCATACAACCCAGTGAAAAAAATGAGCGTGATTCCGCAGGTTCCTGCGCTCATATTAACACTCATATTTTTGCCGAAACAATTCCCAAGGAAATCTTCTCGTTTTCCGCATGTGTTGTTCAACCTCTGACTGGTTTTTCGTCGTAGAATTTATTTTCAATAGTATATGTACAATCAAACAAGATAAAATAAAGTAACAACAGCGCGTGGGAAACATTGAACGGGAACATTGCGCGGGAAGTTCAAAAATTCCGCGTACGAATCGAAATTCGAGAAATTCGTTCAGTTCCGCAGGAATTTGATTTTCTCGTATAAAATAATTATCGATTAATTAAAGTTAATTAAAAGTTGTTAGTAAAACGAATATGAATCAGAATTGTTAATTTATTCATGGAGTGTTAAATCCGTAAAAACGGTGTATAAAATTAAAATAAGTAAAAGTTGACTTTTTCTTCTATACATGGTTTTTTTCGGAATACTTTTGGCCAAATCCCATTGGGAAAGTGAAAGTTGAATTTCTCCTACAAAACTGGTCTAGTACATGAAATAAAGCCATTACGAGAAGTATTTCCCAATATGATGTCACTGGTTAAAGCAGCACTTACTATTCCGGTATTATCTGTGACGTGTGAGCGTGTATTCTCAAGATGAAGACTCATTTAAGAAACACTATGGCAGATGAACGATTAAGCGGTCTTTGTATTTTATCGATTGAACGTGATTTTCAAGTGAATTTTCAACAAGTTATTGATCCGTTCTCAGCTAGTCATAAAAATAGTAGAATCATGCTGCATTAATTATATTTTTTTTGGTGTTTGTCTTTCTTTTTCATAATCAAGGATTGAATATTTGAATATCTTTATTGTCATCTTCATTATATTGTTCGAGAAGTACTTAAGTCACTTTTGTTTAACTATGGAAAAACTGGGGACGGAGGCCATTTCAACCAAAGAGATTTTCTTGTATCATTCAAGAAACTACTAATTAGTTTCCTTTATAATTAATTCCTTCTGAAACGAATAAATTTCTTTGCAAAGCTGGGCACTATATGCAGTCTAATCGTTATTGTTAATTTTTGCAGATTCAGATACAGTCGTGGACAAAGTAACGGCCTCCTACTTCCGCTGAATATTTCAATCAATCAGGTAAAATTTTTACGACTAATAATAACAGAACTTTTGAATAACCATATACGGGGTTCACTTAACCGCTAAGAACTCAGTACTCATCAGGAAACCACAGAACAAAATTTATTTTCTAAAATCTAGCAACGGTGCATTTGGTTGAAAAGTGACTGAAAAACTTCTTATTTTATTTCGACACGAGTAAGTCAATGGCGGTAAATGCAAAAATTTTTGATTCGAACTAGATCTGCTCGAAGTTTTTACCTAATACCGGTTCAAGACATATCCAAAATGTGTGTAAGATATGTCTGAAACAGAACCAAGCACGAGGTAGTTTAATGGCGTAGTCACAAAATTGTCAGGTAATACACTCGTGAATCTCTCCTTCACCCGATCGCTAAATCACTATCATAAGTCCAAGATATGTGAAAAAATGTGTTGAATACATCGGAGACATCTCGAAAATATCTTCAAAATATATCGAGTGCTTTGCTATCAGCTGACGCTATTACAAGAACACGTTACAATGCTTCTTCTATCTCACTAGATAATTCTTGCTTCTGTTAAATATATGGGCTCAGGCGGTGGGGACAGTGGATGACATTCCTCGTTTAAATGAATTTTTTAATGATTGCCTAACTTTTACAAACAGAGCTCATTCAACATTTGTTAACTTCGCTCTGTTGCCAACACAATTACCACTTTGACTATATCTTCGATTTATTAGTTATTTCCAGTTATCTGTACATGTCTCTGTTGTATATGAGTGGTTCAGCTATCAAAGAGAAAAGACAACGCACAACTACCATGGTTAATGCTTTTTCTGCAAAAAGAGAACTACTGACACGGATTGATAATCTAGTCTATGCATGCAAAATCATGTGTACAAAAAGTTTGGCTTCGTAGTTCACATCGCTCCCAAGGCGCAGCAGCCATCTGACCAAAATGATGTTCCAGCATAATATAAATGATTGACTTGTTTTATTGACCTGCAATTGTCGCAGTATCTATATGAACTCATGTTTCGGATTAATGCTTATTTTTTTTTAGTTTGATTTCTTTTCTCTTATCGAAATATTCAACTCTGAAATGCTTTTCGACAAATTCGAAGCTGCACAAAGCGTCTTGACTGCAACTTGTCATGTGTGAATAATATCTATCTACATAGAATATGAAGAAGAAAAAACCGATACCGGCTTTACGAAAAATACACTATTACATCTACCTTTGAATCTTTTCGCCCTGTTCTCCTCTTATTTTTTGTTTGTGATAATTATCCATGCGTTACTATGACGCGATACATATTACACAACGTAGTCTAGAAGCAATCATATTTACGAGCTATCATGGATACGAATACACAAGCGAACATCGTTCGGGAAACATTAACATGTCCAATTACACTTGAAGTCTTTCGTGATCCAGTCAGAGCTACAGATGGTCATGTGTATGAGCGTGCAGCCATTATCAGATGGATTGAGACACATGGTACAAGCCCGCTCACTCGGGAACCGTTGAATGTAGCTGATTTACAAGTGGACGAGCACTTGAAATATCTGGCTAGCCAACGACGACCATCGAAAATATCTTCTGTCACACAAGATGAAACTGTGATTCTTCCTGCTTTTTATGGAATGGGCAGTGACAGTACACACCCATCTGGTAACACTGCCAATATGGAAAATCTTCCTATGAATCCGAAGAAACGGTTTTGGTCGGCGCTGTGTTGTTTAGCTATAGTCATTTGTTCTGGTTTGCTCTTAGCTGGCTTAGTTACAGGCTTTAGCATAGGTTTAGGCTATGCCGTGGGAGGCCGCGGGAAATTGGCCGATAGCAGTACCCGAACAAGTAGGTTGTTTAAATGAATCAGTGTGCTGGGATTCTCTATTAAAATAGAAACCGGGTGGCACTTTACCTTTACTTTACTAGCAGCTAAGTAAGTTAGTAAGTTAGACTTATGAGTTACTTTACTTAAGTTACTCAACAGAAAAGTAAAGTAAATGGGCCACCCCTAGCTAGAATTTTATGAATTTAATGGTAGCTTAATGCATGATTATTCATACATTCACTTTGCATATCCTAATTTTTATTTTCAATACATAGCAACTTCATTGAACATGCAGTCGTCGTATTCAGGGAGGTTTACTTCCATGAGTCCAAGTTATCGTTGCATCGACTGTTCAACTTCTGATCACTACTATGAAGCTTTCCATGTTAATGTCTCAAACACTAGCTATTACCACAGTTTGATTCAAAGCAGTGTGTCTGCATATTCCTATGGCTATGTCGACTGTTTCATACCATCTGATCCGTGGCTGAATCGAGTGCCATTCAACGCTAACAATGGTCCCAATTCACGTTTAGAACTCTCAATGTACCTCTCGCGTTCCGATAGTTATATTTTAATTGTCACAACACTTAATAGATTAACGACAGGAGTATTTTCAATCTACATATTCGGTTCAGGTGATGTGCGTCTAGTTCCCATGAACACCATATCGACAGCAATGACCACGCAAAAACAAACAGAGCAACCTCAAGAAGAAGGGAATAAAAAGTTAAGACCAATGATAAGTGCCACGAAGTGACCTGATGTTTGCCACTCGAAAAAGTCAATTTTCGTCATTAAAGTCGAAGCTGAGATAAGTTCATGGCACGATGGCCTGATCTCTGATCTTTCATAATCAACATGATTTGTTATTTGACAATCCCCTTCTACCCAAGACTTTTTATCATCTCTATCCTCTTCTTGGCATACACACTTCAAGTATGCCAAACTCGCACTGGATCATGGTCAGAACACACTTCATCCGCATTCTTTATATGGAAAATGGACCTACTATGTTAACTCCAGACATCAGATGGTGTTTGTTCGTGGTTCTTTCCTCCTGACCTCGTTTTCTTTCATTCGATTGTTTTTCTTCTGTATTCTGTATTATATCTGACACTTATCAAAAATGTGACTATTTATACTGATAAATTACCGGGTGAAAATTATATTTTGAAAGATGTACCCGGATGTGATTCGCCTATTAAACAACATCGTGATACAGCAATACAAGCTATTCGAGAAGCGGATGCATTTTTATTTTTAACCGATGGTCAACGCCCCGATTTAACACGTGATGAAATAAATATATTAAAAGAAATTCAAAGTGGACATTATCAAGGTATGTCACGTGCAGTTGGTATAATAACAAAATTAGATCTATGTCATACAAGAAAACAATATCTTGATCACTATGAAAAAGCTCGATTAGAATTAATTAATAAAGGATTTTTAAAACAAAATATATTTGCAGCAAACAGAGATATCAGGTTCAAAATGTATAAAATTGCTTAACGATCATCGTTGACTTGATATTCGACCAATGTTATTAATTATTTGAGAGAAAAAGGCATCAGTATAATGTCACGTCCGCCGCATTTGCTGTACCTACATAATCTTTGGTTAAATAATTCTATCGATCGGAGTTAAACTGATTAAATAAATAAAATATAATGTGTTTATGCGGTTTCCAAGGAAGCTGAAATTTTTTTCGAAAAAGAGTTCAAAAGAAACTTTTAATAAACTATTAGAAAGATTGAACTTGCTATAAATAATCATAACAACTATCGTGCACATTTGATGAAATAAAATTGAAAATATCTCCTTATCTTTGTATTTTTATTTAATGTTCTTAGAACTTTTGGTCAGACTTAAGTATATCACACTGAAAGAAAATTTTAAAACAGTATTGGCAGTTAATCATAAATAATTTATTATATTGTAGCTTTGAGTCATAATTATTGAGTATCGATAAACAAAATTCTCATTATAAAGGCTAATAAAAAGATTATATCTAGACTAAAGGCAGATGCTGTGAGCTTGTACTCACGGCATCAGTCGAAGTCAGTTAGGAAGTATTAAACAAATATAGAAGGATCAAAAACTTGGTTCTTTTAATTTAATATTTTAAGAATACTCTTAATTGGTTCAGGTACTACATCAGCTGTAACTGGTGTATTAATCGGACAAAATTGAAAGGAAGCGCACAGCCATTTGGCTAGAATTGGTGTTGAATCTGTTTTGCTTGCTTGTGTTTCGTTATCGCATACTTTAAATGCTAATAACGGTGCTATACGTGCTAATTCTTTTGCAGCGTCAATTCGACAGTCTTCAAAATCATGTGGCCAACGAATTGTAGCATTAATCATTGGTCGAGCTATTCGTCGAATTAATGCACGTGTTTCAATTGTACATTCTTCTTGTTTTAATGTTGTACGAAATATATCTTTCTGTTCAGTACATATTTCATTGAGTCTTTTCTCCAATTCACATACATATGTTTCATATAAAAATTTTGCTAATAATGAACATGTATCATCAACAGCTTTCATCATCATCGATGAAACAGATTCACGTTCACGATCTTCTACTCGACGACGATTCATTTGTAATACAACAAAATCATGTTCTTTAAACATTTGGTCTTTAATTAAATGTTCTTCATTAACCATGTCGTTTGTGTACAATTCAAATTCATCACTAAAATATTTTATTATTTTACTAGTGCATTCAAAACGTTTTTCTGCTAATTCTTCATGTTGCCATTTAGCTGCGTTTTTTAATGTTGGTTTAAATCGTTCAGTTTTAAATATATCACCCCAACGAATACTATTTTGTTGTTCAATATAATTGTGTAATCCAACACTATCGGTAATATTATATGGAATTTTTTTTTGACCAATTTGTATGGCATCTTGAATATATCGTATAATACGTTGTTGTGCAATATCAACTGCTTGATCTAAATGTGTTTTAGGTAATTCAATACTAATATATTGATTTATAGCATTTGTAGCTGATCGAAAACCATCTAATAAATAATCAAATTGAATAATTTTATCTTTAAGTGTATCTGTATCATTTTCATTTGTTTTTGTTTTTTCTGCTAATGTAACATGTGCTACTGTTGCAAATATATTTTGTTTTAAAAATCCTTTATTAATTAATTCTAATCGAGCTTTTTCATAATGATCAAGATATTG